AATAAATAAAGTTTTAAAAGAAATAAAGAAGAGCTTGATTATTACAAAAAAAAAAAAAAAGACTCAGTGGAAGCTATTCTGGGAAGACTTTCCAAAATCTCTCACAGCCTTGAATTCATACACTGCATTAGGCTTCTGCTTATGCCATACACATTTCTGTACGGTGATGTAACGTGTTACTTTCATCTCTCCCTCTAGATCCACATTGCCCAATAGAACTTTCTGCAGTAATGGAAACAATCTAATATCTGCACTGTCTAATAAGTATCCACAGTTACTGAGTACTTGTAATGTGGCTAGTTCAACTTTAAGGAACTGAATTTTTAATTTTATTTAACTTTAATTATTATACATGTGAATTTCAATAGCCACCTGTGACTAGTGGATGTGGTACTGGGTAACACAGCTCTAGGGAGACTGTCAACTCTGAAGAAAAGACCATGCTGTGTCTGTATCCCTAGCATTCATCACAGGACCCAACATAGACTAGCACTCAATTGTTTATTGAAAGAATAAGTGAATGTGTACATTTCTATAAACACTTCTTACATATTCTTGGGAAATGATTGTGCCTAAAACTCTAAGCATTCTAGCTCACCATATCAAATGTGGCCAAATTACTCACATCTTGTAAAGCACACCTCATTAACTAACATGGAAAAAACTCTCAGCAAATCAGTTATTTCTACCTAGGGTATTCAACTTCACAGTCATTCCTAAATGACTTCCAGATGACTTTTGGACAAATGGTTACACTGTTTATGAAATATTACAATAGTCATAGCAGCATCATTTTGGAATGTCAAAATCAACTATATTTTTATAAAGAAAAAACATACTATGCTTATATTAATATGGAAAATAAATTTCTTTGAATGCCTAAAGTATTGCCAGATTTTAAAGACTACTTTGAAATGTTCTTTAAACATAACACTCTACTCTCCTAACCAAATTCATTTTTGAAATCCCATACAGTAGTTAGAGAAACTGTACCAGCTTGGTTTGATAGGCTTTGTTAGTACAACAGCAGAATATGGAGAACATGACCTAGCTATAAAGAACTGGCAGTCAAATTCAAGTTGGTTCTAATTAAAAGTCTTGGTTGACAGAATTCATGAGGTTGATATATGCTTAGCTATTTGAGATTTTAAGAAATCCAACATGTGCGCTTCATAAGGCACAGATTAATCAGGTTTGACTCCACATCCAGGCACTCACTATAAAAATCCTAAAGGCAGAACTGGTAATCAGAGGCATTAGCAGAGGTGGTCTGCATACAATAGCTCCATCCAGAGTGAGGCAGTCATCTCCATTTCCTGCCTGATGCATCACACAGCCCACAATGGTTTGTTTTTGTTTGTTTGTTTGTTTGTTTTTGACAGGTAGAGTTATAGACAGTGAGAGAGAGAGAGAGACAGAAGGATCTTCCTTCCATTGGTCCACCCCCACCCCCCAAATGGCCGCCACCGCCGGTGCTGCACCAATCCGAAGCCAGGAGCCAGGCACTTCTTCCTGGTCTCCCATGCCAGTGCAGGAGCCCAAGCACCTGGGCCATCCTCCACTGCCTTCCGGGGCCACAGCAGAGAGCTGGACTGGAAGAGGAGCAACCGGGACTAGAACCTGGTGCCCATATGGGATGCTGGCGCCACAGGTGGAGTATTAGCCAAGTGAGCCACGGCACCGGCATTAGCCCACAATGGTTATACAACAATTGAACAACTACTGGTTAATGTCCTTTCATTATACAATTATTTCTGTAAAGAGAGACTAATCCTAAGATCTAAAACCACATAGAGAATGAAAACGAAGATATATAAGCACCTTAAAGGTTGGTTAAGGGGTGGAGGTGGAGGCTTCATATACATGGTTTACTTTTTTAAATTCAATTCAAATTTTTAGGTAAAAATTAAAAACTTCATTATAAAACCATTGATGTCCATTATTAAAAATGCAGGAGGTAAATATAAAACATACACTTAGGGGGCTGGCATTGTTGTGTAATAGGTAAAGCCACTGCCTGAGACACTGACATCCCACATGAGAACTGGTACAGGTCCTGGCTGCTGTTAATGAGCTTGAGAAAGCAGCAGAGGATGGCTCAAGTGTTTGGGTCCTTGCTATCTATGTTGGAGACCCACTGGATGCTGCTGGATCCTAGCTTCCATCTGGCCCAGCCCCAGACATTGTGGCCATCTGGGGAGTGAACCAGTGGATGTAAAAGTCTCTCTCCTCTTTCTCTCTGTCTCTTCCTCTCTCTTTGAACTCTTTCAAATAATAACTAAATCTTAAAAAAAATATACACTTAGGGGCCAATGCTGTGGCATGGCTGGTAAAGCTATCACCTACAGTGCTGGCATCCCATATGGGCACCGGTTTGAGACCCAGCTACTCCCCTTCTGAACCAGCTCTCTGCTTTGGCCTGGGAAAGCAGTAGAAGATGGTCCAAGTTCTTGGGCCCCTGCACCTACATGGGAGACCTGGAAGAAGCTCCTGGCTTTTGGCTTTGGATGGGCCCAGCACCAGCTATTGAGGCCGTTTGGGGAGTGAGCCACAGAATGGAAGATTTCTCTCTCTCTCTGCCTCTGCCTCTCTGTAACTTTGCCTTTCAAATAAAATAAAATCTTTTAAAATAAGATTTATTAATAAAAAACAGACACTTAGCCTTTTTATCCAAAGATAATATTTGGTGGAGTGAATGAGTGGCACAGCAGTTAGGACACTACTTGGGACACCAGCATACCATACTGGAGTGGGTTGGTTCAAGAGAGACTTGCTCCCTATTCCAGCTTCCTGCTGGCATACATAGCAGAGAAGAGCAGATGATGGCTCAGATGCTTGGGCCCCTGGCACCACTATGGGAGATCCAGACTGAATTCTGGGTTGTTGTGGACATAGGGGGAGTGAACCAGCAGCTGTCTACCTCTCAATTAAAAAAATTAAAGATAACATGTGGTAAATATTCTACTGCTTTTTGTTCTTGTGCACCTTGAAAATAGTAAAATAAATGCGAGCTGGCCTTTATATAACACTTGCTCAGTTTCATGCACTGTCCTAAGCACTTAAAATATATTAACTCGTATTGTCTTCTCTAGAATATTAAGAGGGAGAGACTATTACTTTTTTTTTTTTTTTTTGACAGGCAGAGTGGACAGTGAGAGAGAGAGACAGAGAGAAAGGTCTTCCTTTGCCGTTGGTTCACCCTCCAATGGCCGCCGCGGCCGGCACACCGCGCTGATCCGATGGCAGGAGCCAGGAGCCAGGTGCTTTTCCTGGTCTCCCATGGGGTGCAGGGCCCAAGGACCCAAGCCATCCTCCACTGCACTCCCTGGCCACAGCAGAGAGCTGGCCTGGAAGAGGGGCAACCGGGACAGAATCCGGTACCCCAACCGGGACTAGAACCCGGTGTGCCGGCGCCGCTAGGCGGAGGATTAGCCTAGTGAGCTGCGGCGCCGGCTTAGGGGGAGAGACTATTACTATCTGTACCTTATGGACAAAGAAACTGAGCAGAGAGAGGCTAAGTAATTTGATTCAGTTCACAAACTTGCAAGTGGCAGATAATCACCATGCCATTTTTGCTATGAGAGCATTATGTTCAACTAAGTAGTAGTGTAGGTACTTCATTAAACACTTAACTGCTATTTCACTATTCTGTCAGAAGCAGACGCACAATCTGAATATCTTATTTGACTCCTGTTCCCTATTGTAGGTGAGGGTCCCAACTAAGATAGGAGACATTCATTGACTTGGATCGATACTCAACAGCTGGAGTATGAGACACATCTGTAAAACTAATTTAGACTCTCAGGGCTAGATCTCTTTGTTGTTCTTAATATCAAACTATCACTTTCCAAACTCTATACATTATATGATCTATTAGCTTAGCCTATGAAAGGGTATATCAATTTGATTCAAGTCTGATTTTCTTTGTTTTTAACCTGTATTCTTTTTATTTTTTATTTATTTGACAGGTAGAGTTGCAGACAATGAGAGAGAGAGAGACAGAGAGAGTCTTCCCTCCGTTGGTTCACTCCCCAAATGGCCGCTATGGCCAGAGCTCCGCCGAGCTGAAGCCAGGAGCCAGGTGTTCCTCCTGGTCTCCTATGTGGGTGCAGGGGTCCAAGCACTTGGGCCATCCTCCACTGCCTTCCGGGGCCACAGCAGAGAGCTGGACTGGAAGAGGAGCAACCAGGACTAGAACCTGGTGCCCATATGGGATGCCAGCACCACAGGTGGAGGATTAACCAAGTGAGCCACGGCGCCAGCCCCTTAACCTGTATTCTTAAAATATAATCAGAACTCCCAATTTCTTTAAAATCTAAAAGTTTGCTATTTTGATTATAGACTCAAAAACATGTGCACAGTATTACAAAATGCAGGTTAAAACAAGTGAAAATAATTTTTTCTACAATATAAACTGTTAAAAATTGGCAACATGAGATGCAACTGATTTAAAGGTATTCTTAGAGAGCTGGATGATGTCCCATGCCTGCACCCCACCCCCAAATGCTATCTGCAAATATCCAAGAGAATCTATATTTCATTTTCTGTTCTCTGTCAGTGTAGACTGTTGCATCCTCCAGCAACTTGAGTCATTTTTTACGCTTCTGTTACCCGCACAGCAACTCCTTCAGCAACAATAGTAATTATCCAGCAGCCCTGATATCGCAGGATAAAACTGTAATTAAATTGTATCACTGCAGCATGCATAGTTATAATAATTGCAGCAAAAAAAAAAAAAAAAGAGAGAGAGAGAGAGAGAGAAGTCTTATGGACGTGGTATTTTTTAGTTCTGGCTTTCAAAATTAACTGCAGTAATTATACTGCTTAAAAATCAAGTTTGTTTTCCCAAGAAAACATGATTTTCTTTGCACCAAGCCCACTGACACTAAACTATCTAAATGTTCCTAAAGAGAAACATTAGTCTATTTCTGTATTTAAAGATTCTACAGAGAATGGGAGGTGGCATGAACACAAAACACATTTCTCCAAATAATACTTACAGCTCTTCTAGAAAGGGAAAGTTCTTAAATGCATCTTCAGGTAATTGAGTAATGTTGTTCATACTGATATCCCTGAAAAACAAAATTTAGAATGATGTTAACTAAATAATATGAGATTAAAAGCATTTAATCCTACAGAAAATGAATCAGTGGCTGAAATTTTATAAAGAAGCAAGAAAACATGGCACCAAAGACATACTTGGGAATATCCATAATTTGGCTTCAGGATACAATGCTCAGAAAACACAGAGATGTTAAATTTTTTATTTTAAATTATAACCAAAATTCTGAAATGTACCTAGATATTTGATTTCTCCTTTTAAATATCTTTGGGGGGAAAAAAAGGTTTCAGTGTGGCTTCCTAGTGTTCTGTTATTCAAAGTGCAGCACCCAGTTAAAAAAAACAAACCCCAAGGCTTGACAAAATAGACTTGCTGGCAAGGGTGGTTTCTGATGTTACTATTGAGGACAATAAAAATATGTCCTAGCTCTACTGCAGCCATATTTTCTTCAAAATCATAAAAGTCCTCCAGGTAAGAGTTTTAAGTAGACTTCATTTTTAGCCTATGAACAGATGCAGACTAAAGACAAGTGCATACATGATAGGTATGCGGTCCATTTCCAGTTCTCCCGTGGAGCATCAGCAGAGAGAGAACTCACTTGATGATATAACTCAACAATTAACTAGTTCAAACAACTAAAAAATACTTCATTAACCATTCTCCTTTTCCTTGGCAGCTGCCTTTTGAAACTGGCGTTCTCTTCCACACTCCATTTGGTATCAACACTGTGAAAGACAGGTTGGGACAGCCTCCTAAGGGAAAGTCCTAGCATGCACTGGTCAGCTGAGATGCCTCCCTCAGTTTCCTTTGCCTCTCATCTGTTGTTGGTGCTCCATTGTGTGGTTGAGACCTTGAGTCTTTCCTCTCTAGAAACTGCCATGAAGGTTCATTGTGTGACATTCTCACTGTTACTTTACACACACTGGCATAAAGAGGTAGAAATCAAGCACACCAAACTCATCTAACAACACTATTTTTTTGTGACACCTTCAGTACCAAGGCAGGTAATCCCTTCTCCCCATCTTTCCTCTCATTACAATTCAGGAATGGAATTTGCATTCTAAGAAACCTTTCCCAAGGGAGGTGTGGAAACTGATTTGGGAATAACAGCAGAAGAGGCAGCCTTTAATATACAACTAATGCTCATAAGACAACACACAAAATCTCACTTTACAAATGGGGAAAGCAAGGCTTACAGAGGTCAAATAACCTCCCAAGGCCATTCAACAAGTGATGCAATCTGAAATGTGCACTGCAGAGTTCGTGATCTTCACTGTGAATTATGAGCCTTCTCAACTATCATTTCAAACCCGTCACTTCTCTCCAGCAGTCATCAAGATAGAAAGCAACCCCTTGAGTTCCACCTTATTGTGGTTTTGATTTGCATCTCCCTGATGGCTCTAGTGATCCTGAACATTTCTTTATGTGTCTGTTGGCCAGACCCAGAACTGGTATTTTTAAAACCAAGGCCCCAACATTAATCAGCCACCACTATCCACGGAGAAGGAGAAGAAGGAGAACCCTTTGTTTTTCATAAAGCCTCTATTGGAGAAACAGCACCAAAATAGGAGGTCAGAAGAAGCAGGCTCCAGGCCTGCTTCAGTTTAATCATCTGTAAAACGAGTGAGTTTACCTGACTCGGGGACCTCCTGGCCTGACATTATGCACTTTGATGATTCACCTTTTTCTGTAGCTTTTTCATGGAGGGACACAACCTTCTCGATAAAAATACACAAAGTGGGACCGGCGCTGTGGCATAGTAGACTAAGCTTACGCCTGCAGCACCAGCATCCCGTATGGGCCCTGGTTTGTGTCCCAGCTGCTCCTCTTCTGATCCAGCTCTCTGCAATGGCCTAGGAAAGCAGTAGAAGATGGCCCAAGCTCCTGGCTTCTGATTATCCCAGCTCCAGCTGTTGCAGCCATCTGGGGAGTGACTCAGTAGATGGAAGACCTTTCTGTCTCTCGGTCTTTGTGTCTCTAAGTCTACCTCTCAAATAAATAAATAAAATATTTAAAAACAAATGAAAAAATACACAAAGTTCATTAATTTATCATAACACAAAAAGTAAAGACAATTAGTTGTCATTATGAAACTACTGGTCACTTCACTAGAAACACATTTGGCCTGAATAAATGAAATTGGTCTTGAGGATACAGGAAAACTTTTAGAACTATTGAAAGACATATTACAATCTGGTATGAATAAGCAGTGACTCCATAAAACATGGGACAATTTTAGCGCTTTTTAATCATTCCAATGAAAGGAGAAAGAATGACAATAATCGTTTATTGCCTTACAAAATCAGACACTCCATGGAGTTTCCTCCAAGCTTGGCACACCTGAATTCAGGTATCACAACAACAGAAAAGCTGAATAATTGCCTCATCCAAAAAAGATCTGGCAAGAACTGATTAATTGCCTTCAGAAAAAAAGACACATAATTAGAGACAATTGACACCACACTATTCTCTGCATTCCCAGTCTTAAACACACACATATATAATTCTCTCATTTTTTCCTTAGAGTAACAAGACATAACAAGTATTTCTGCTGTGAGCTGTAAATGCAATTAGTGAGACTCTGTATTTACAAACTAATATGTGTTAAACACATGGTGAGGTTTCATTTCAAAGTTTCAGATTCAGGAATTACACTTATTTCCAATTGTTTCCCCCCAATTTCACACACCCAGAGAGCACGTTCTCTCCTTACAGGTGTTTTCCCTCATGCTTTCTGGGCTTCAGTCATAAAACATTTTTAGTCAATCAAAAGAAAAGTGTAGGGGGAGAGGGAAAGCTATGAGATGCTATCTCTAGAGAAGCTCTGGAAACGTGTAGTTACAGAGTGTAGGCTAGGTGGGGTACTCATTTAGAATAATGAGAGCTAATGGCGATAAACAACCTACAGACAGTCTTAAGACTATTCTAGACCTGACTTCACCAACACCTAAAAGAACAGCTAACGTACACAGACTTTAGAAATAAGAGGTTAGAAAGGATGCTGAGGGAGATGAGATAAATTCTAACAATTTACAAATGGAAGCTCTATGCCAATAACTGAAACACATGAGGCTCATAAGACACATGAATTATGAAAATAATTTTTTTAAAAATTGCAATTTAGAGAATGTTCAGTTTGAAGATGCTCCCACAGATCAGTGCCTTCAAATTCACATGAACAACGTGGTCTTAGCAGTAACATTAGTAATTAAATGAAGTGAGTGATTTGCCATCCTGGGTCCTACCACAAAATAAATACAACATAGAAAACAAACAGGCAGGCATTGTGGCGCAGTGGCCTAAAGCACTGGCATTGCACATGGACACCAGAGAGTCCCAGCTGCTCCACTTCCAGTCCAGCTCCATGCTAACATGCCTGGGAAAGCAGCAGAAGGTGGCCCAAGTACTTGAACCCCTGCACCTATGTGGGAGATCCAGATGAGCCACCTGGCTCCACCCAGGCCCAGCCATGGCCGTTGGGGCCATTTGGGGAATGAACCAGCAGGTCTAACATTTCTCTCTCTCTCTTTTCTCTGTAACTCTGCCTTTCAAATAAATAAATAACTAATTAAAAAATAATAATAATACAAGGTCAGATTACCACAAGCTCACAAATATCTCTGATGAGTAATTTCAAGAGAACTGATGGTCTTCTTTGGAGCTAACCTTGTCTAGGTGGAAATATCCAGGCTTTGGAGTTAGACCAAAGTTGACTTACAAATTCACCACCACTAGCTGTGTGGTAAGCTGTTCATCTTTCCTGAGCCCTCGCTTCTTAGTTTATAAAGTAGAGGCAGTGACAACTGAACCTTGTAGGCTGTTGTGAAGAACAGAAAATGCCAAGTCACAAATAATTAAGTCCAACAAATTGTAGCTATTTCTTACTATTATCTGCGTTTTTGCTGCTTCAGAGGCTATCTGAATCCAGTGATCCAGACAGGATTAAGAGGAGGCCAAGCCTCACATTGCCTCTGGTGGCCTTCCCAGAAAGAAACGACTTCGGAGAAAACACTAAACTCTACAGGAGACCAGAACTAGGAGTCATTCCTAAACACAAACTTAACTCTACAACTCCAGGAGTCAAAGATGCTAAGCAGGATGAGCTTTCTGAGATCAAACACTTCACATCTCCCCCCCCCAAAAAAAAAGGTTGTGATCCAGTTGTTGACAAATCATGCCCTCTTAAATAAAAAGAAATCACATTTTTATAGGAAATAACAAAGACAGACAAGACCCCTTCTCAAAAACATGAAGCATGAAGAGGACTTCAAGCAGTTTAGTGGAAAGGAGGGGGATAGAACCTAGAATTTTTACTTAATAGGGCAGAGGTGTAAAATCCTTTCTAAACATATTTGTTTTTATACAGATTTTAGAGTTCAGTCTCTCGAGATACACCTGAAACAGAATATAACTACATTTACACTCACACAACATAATACTCCCACCTTTTGACCACAGAGACCAACAATACAAAAGCCTATGACCTCACTAGAAAAATAAACCTGAACACCCAAACACCAGCAGTCACTGATTTCAAAATTAAAATTTAAAGGGCACAACTGTTTAATTGAAACTGCCAAATCTCCCCAGTGGTTAAACCCTCATCTCTTTTTCCCCCCATAAAATTCACTAATGCTGAAGTGTCTACAGAGGAAAGAAGAACATCATGTTTCAACAAAGCACCTTTTAAAATCCCTGTAAAATGCTCCCTAAGCAAGCCTAACCTGTTTGCTGATGGCCAAGCGTGTACCCACTACATACTATGTCGTTGCATCCTCATTGGGTCTGGGCTTTCTGCCACTGAATTACTTAATTTTAAATATATTGTGACTGACCTGCTGTTATCTAAATTTGAATAAGCCCTCCTATTTGTTTTAGATAAAGCTGTACTGCTACTACCATATTATTGATTCTATCTCAAATATTATCTGGCAACTTAAAAAGTCACGAAATTACACACAGGTTGTAGAGAACACAGGGTCCTCAGCTGTGTTCTCTAGGGGAAAAGTG